AGTCGCCCCCTGGTGGACACTAGAGAGAATGCAGCTTTAAGACACTTAAGGCTTCAGTTCTCTGAACCCGAGGTTGCCGCCTGGTTTTGGCGCAGAGTTAAAAAAAAGACTGCGCTTGTGATATTCTTATTTGTGTTATATTTTGTATTTTAAAAAAACAAACAGCTGCAGATTATCTAAGAGGCCGTGAATGATTATTAAACAACTAAGAATAGAGCGAGGCAACAATGCCTGTCTGTGGGAATAACACACGTGAGAAATTTAAACGAGCGGCAATCCCCTTTTCTTCATAATTAGGTCAGCATAACATTATTTCCTGTTACTGGAAAATCCAATTATTGACTTTGACTCCAGAGCCGACTGCAGGGACGGCAGACAGAGCAGCCCTCTTCTTCTGTTAGATGGCCGTATTGTATGTCTGTCACTAATGGCTCAGGAATGTCACATTAGTCAAGGGCCGCATGCGTGACGCCGCAAACATGAAAACACTTTGAGGAGACCAATATGATATCACACTCGCTGAAAAAGAACGGTGACAGGTCCGGTGATCTCATTGCCTCAGAGCTACAAAGTGACAGACGGCCTCCTACACACTGCAAACCAGAAAAATGTCCCTCTAGCAAGGTGTCAAGAGTTAGATTTCAAAAAGGCCGAAACATATCAGAAATGACAGCGTTTTGGTGCAATGTGCAGGTAGAGAAAAAACATCATCGAGCAGTATTTAACGCATTATGTGTCTTCTCCATCTTTTAACTGAAACGGACAAATCAAATTACTTGTAGTGCTATTTATCAGTCTAGATTGTTTTGGCGTGAGATGCAGAACGACTCCTCTGGTTGTATAGAAGTCTATGAGAAAATGACTCTACTTCTCTCTTGATTTATTACCTCAGTAAACATTGTAAACATGAGTTTATGGTCTCAATCTCTAGTTTCAAGTCTTCTTCAATACAGCATGATGTTCATTCAGTACATTATGGTCCATTTAGAGTCACACAGACCATAAAGCAGGGGATGATTTAGGGCGGGGCTACACTGTGATTGACAGGTCTCTACCACAGAGTTAACTTTAACCCTTTCACAGTGCTCTTTCACTTCATGAAAGTTGATTGTAACATTTGGTAGAATTTAAAATGTCTCATCTAGCGTTCCGTTGTATTTAGCTCCGCCCTCTTGTGTCACTTCTGAATGCAAAAAAAACAAAACCAAGATGGGGACAGCCGAAATGCTTAAATCAAAGCTTCATGACATCAGTCCACAAACCGATGGGTGACGTCACGGTGACTACGTCCACTATCTTATATACATTCTACAGGACAAATATGCGTTTGGTGTTTTGGGGTGGACTGTCCCTTTAACCCATCAGACCCTGCTGCAGCTTCTCTGTCGGCAGTTCAAGCTGAGTTCAGTCCCCCTGTGGCTGCTGCTGCTTCTCTGCCTCTGACTCATTACCTGCGTAGGTGGGCAGCAGCTAAATGACTCTCGCGTCAAAACAGCCCATCGGCAGACAAACGAAAAATCCCCCTCGATCAAAGTAAATCTCTTTATTCAATATGCCTGCATGTGTGTGTGTGTGTATGTCACATAGCCTTTTCGGGGTGCTGTTTACATTTGGGCAAGCTAAGTCATGCAATCTGATCCTGAGCCTCTTCAAACCCCCCCTCACACACACACACACACACACACACACACATATGTGCATCCACCTCTCAACACTGAGAGCTATCGGAGGAAACGCGTTGTTACCTCACTAAGACATGCTGGCGTCGGTGTGTGTGTGTGTGCGGGGGGGGTCAGGAGGGCAGTGGGGATTGTAGACACATTGATGCCATATGTGCACCCTGGATGTTCCCTCTCAGCTGAGCACAGACTTCCTCCAGAAGTTCCTCTAAGGTAACCAGAGTGTAACAGTTACAGAGCAGATGGATCTGTGTCGGTCCGGAGGTTCTGCTGGAGCCTGACTCTCTGGGATTTTTTTGCTTCCATCTGTGGTCGCTCCTGCAGCAGGAAGTGGGTCAGTGGGATTCCCACACTCCGCTAATTTCACACTGTTCCGATCCCAAATCTCCACTGACTTTGAGGTACCCACCCCCCCGCCAAGTTTGTGAGGGTTTAGTTCTGTCCTACTGTCAAATCATGCAGTGTTTGAGGTCTCTCTCGCAGGCTTTTTGAGTCCTTTATGAACACTCCGCATTTCTGCAGACTTTGCCCAAGGGAATTACCCACAATTCATAGCGTTGTGACATTAAACACTGGGTTACCGGTTGAGGTTGGAGACGTAAAAAACAAAGAGTGTTCAGCCTGGAATATTAAATGTACACAAACACTCAGGATTATAGATGGAACATAAAATCAAAGGACTATATTACAAACCTGCTTTTGACAAAGAGAGTAGATCATTTGACCATTACCTCTCATCTTCTGAGGCAAACGCCTGGAAGACGTTGCGATGGCAAAGTTTTTTTAAAACAACCCAAAATTGTTAACAATATGATATGTTGTCAAAGTAGCGTTATGTGTCGCAACCGTTCACAACTTAATGTCACATTTTTATTTTTACCATTTCTTGCTCTCGCAGCCTCTCACACTGAAATCCCGGAGGGTTCAGGGTCTGAGGCCTCAGAGGGGACATTTGGATCGGGCCACAGACTTCACAAACTCTTGCTCAGCATCTTCTTTAAAACACAATTTATTCCTCCCACCTGCAGTCGCACCGTGTACCCCCCCTCCCCTCTTTAGCGTGAGTTCCTCTATGTGTGTGCTGACAGCCGGGCAGGTGTGTGCAGGTGTTCCCCTCCCATCACTCAACATCACACAAACCTATCCCCGCTCCTCCGAACGCACACACACAGCACTATCTGCCATATCTGTCCTGACGAACTCATTTAGAGTCGGCAGTTCATACAATACCCGTTGAAATACTAATTAATGTTCAAGCACAAAAGTTATTTTTTTTTAAACAAAGCTTTTATTTACATGTTGCAGAAAAGAAAGGCAGTCTTCCCATTTGAATTCAACAAAACGGATCATTAAAACTGCAGGTCACAGCATTCCCAGAACACGTCTAAATAAATCTAGTTTAGACTGTAAAACGACAATATTGGTGACGTTTTTTTTGGTCAAGTTTAAGTGGTCCTTTTGTGTGTGCGAGCGGGCGGGTCACCTGTTGACGAGGTCACAGCTAACACGTCTCTCAGCGCCCTGCCTCTGCAGGGCACCATTCACAGACAGCTGTCCCAACACACACACACACACATGCCATGTATGTATAGTATGAGTGAGGAATGACATCCACACACACACACAAACACACACATACAAACACGCCCAAGCAGCTGCAACATGGCCCGAGTCCCGGACCAGCCGGCACCGATGGAGCTTCCTGGGAATTAACTGGATGTCCAGCTGCCCTCAAATCACACAAACACAGAGTCTGACAGGACGCGGCACAGATGAGCCGACATGACCGCAAACAAAATCGACCTACAGAGTCCTGGAAAAAGGCACTTAAGGAGTCATTTCATAAAAGCAACAGAACTCCAGTTTTCTGTCTCATCATGGTTCACTGTCCTCTGGGTATAATGTCTCTTATTAGGAGGGAAAACTGGCTCACGAGAAGAACAGTTTCAGGGAATGTGAATGTCTGAATGTGAATGTCTACGAGGCGGGGCAGCATCCGGAGGCGCTGTGTTTGTGCAGCAGGGACATGCGGCTGAAGGTCCGCGAGCAGGAGCCACACTGGTACTTCTTCACCTCGGAGTGGGTCTGCAGGTGGGCGCGCAGGTTGGAGCGGTCGGCGAAGGCCCGGTTACAGTGTTGACAAGCGAAGGGCCGCTCACCTGGTTGGAAGAGACAAGAGATGTTTAGGAGTTTGCACTTTGTTAACAGGCCAGGGAACAGAAAATGGGCCCTCGGGTCATTGTTTTTCAAATGATCTGCAGATAAACTAACAAAAGGACAGGAACGACCACCCTAACTTACTTCTTTTCATGCGTAGCCATTGTGAGGCTGAGATTAGATTGTGCCATGCTAAGCAATAACATTTGCTCACACGTCAGGAGACGTCAATGAATATCAATGAGCACGACCAGCTGTTACATTTACAAGCCAACAGAGCTTGTAAATCAATGGCTCCCTTTGACATGTGAATTAAAGCTGCTTTCTGGTTGCATACCTGTGTGTGTGCGAATGTGTCCTCTGAGCAGCCACGGTCTGGAGAAGGCCTTGCCGCAGGTCGGGCACACGCAGGGCAGAGTGTGTGAGCGGATGTGCATCTTCAGGGCGCCCAGGCTGGTGTACTCCTTGGGGCAGTGTTTGCAGTGGAAGGCCGGACGTGCGGAGACCTCTGCGGGCAGGGACGGAGTCTGCTGCTGCGGAGCGCAGTGGGACGTCTGGTGATGGGACAGTGCCGAGAGGCTGGTGTAACTGTTGGTGCAGTGCAGGCAGTGGTACATGTGCTGGATGATGTCCGGGCTGGGGGGATCTGAGGTGCGCCCGCCGTCCTCCTCTTCCTCGCTGCTGCTGCTGCTGCTGCTGCTGCTGCTGCTGCTGGACGGAGAGCTGCTGAGGTCCAGAGGGCCGAGCGGCAAGGGGGACGGAGACACGGGCGTGATTGGGGAGAGAGGTGCAGGCAGGGAGTCCATACTGCTGAAGAATGGGTTGGTCGGGTAGCAGGTCAGGGCGAAGCTGTTGTTCTGCGTCGGGAGCTCGGCTTGTGCAAAGCTTTCTGGGACAAAAGCTGTGAGACACAGAGAGAAGGGAAGTCAGGTGAGTTGGAATGGACTGATAATCTAATGAAGCACTAAACTTGTTTTCATTCTTGGGTGTCCTCTTACAGCCTGCTTTCAATATATGTAACCCTGATCCATCTGGCCTTTCCATTAGCAGATTATCAAGGTGACCAGAAACCCAGGAGAGCTACATGCAAGGTAAGAAACCTGCTACATGGGTCCAAAGGTAACTTCTATCTTTTCGATGGGATTCAATCAACATTCCAAATATTATCACAGATGCATCCAATTCACTCAATCAAAGAGAAAATAGAACCCACCAGTTTGGCTCTCCAGTTGGCTCTCCCTGTAGACGGGCTTCTTGCTGGAAAAATACTTCTTGACAAGGAATGACCGAGGCATGTTGAGGTCTGGCTTCACCGATAAATTCAAGAAAATAATGATAATTCCCGCGGCGGAGTGCGCTCAGGTCCGAGTTTCTCCTCTTCGGTCTGCTGCAGGTTGTAGTTGGACGGAGAGAAACGCTGACCGGGTTGAATGTATCTCGTCTCAAAGTTGCCTCCTCATATAGTAACCAGAGGGGAGAAGCAGCGGGGTGGGGGTGGGCGTGTCTCCGCCCCAAAGACACACCCCGCGCGTCGGGGCGCTCACCACAGGTGACCGATGTGCCAAAAGCTGTGAGCGCTGATCTAATTGTGCATTTCGCTGCTCTGATGGCTCACTTCACCTGCAGACAGACACCTATGTCATTAAATGTGATCAGCCGGTGCAACTCTAAGTAGAGTTCGGCAAACATGAGTTTCTTTTTTTTTTTACTTAAACGATGCAAAAGAATGCTTTTTTTCAAAGGAGAAAAAGGAGAAGAAGGAGAAGGCAGCGTGCAAACAGATGGAGTCAAATCGAACCAGGATTATCTTGTGTTTAACTTTCTTCCACCTTGCATTGCTCCACTGTGTCCATTCCTTTACTAAACGTGTCAAAGCAACCTGAAGCAGGAGCGTCCTCTGTCGGCTCATAAATTACACGTGTGAGGTGGCAGACTACTGTTTACTTCTGCACACACATCTGTAGAATAATGCTGAACAGAAATGCAAATAAAGTCAGATTTGCGGAAAAGTGTGAAAATCGAGCGAGATAATCCAACAAAACGTAGCTGTCAATAACGAACACTCTAATACTATCTTAATATTTGAGCCGGTGTACTTTTATGTGATTGAAATCCCTCTGACATTTTAAAAATGTTTAAGAACTTTTATTTTTGTCAAATGAGAGACGTGTCACGATGTGTCCATTGTGCGCCTGCGCCTCGAGGCTTTGACGCACCCCTGGTGAGGTGGAGACGTTTTATTTCAGAAGGTGCAGGAGACAAACGCTCTGTTGTCTTCACTCAACACTCAGAACAGAAGGTCCATCCTGACCGCGTCTCTCTTTCTCTGCCTCTCTGCGGGAAATAAGTCGGTTCATCTAAGAGAGAGGCGCTGCCCCGCAGCCCGCAGCCTGCTCACAGCACGATCTCTGGTGAAATTAACCGAGCTGACAGGAACAATATGTAGCTTTAACCCACCTCGTGCCTTCAGGTGACATTGAATGCAGCAAACCCCGTGATGGAAAAGGGGGTTCACTTAATGTTGCATCCTTTTTTCTTTTCTTCGAATACTAAACGTGCGTAAAGTTTGTGCGTAACTGAAACCACACTCCTAAATCAAACGTGTACCCTTATTATCTGCATAATTAGGTTGTGCAATGGTTACCATAATTTATTAGAAAGTAATAAAAATTAAAACAGAAGGAAAGAGGATGTTGTTGATTTATCTTTTTTTTACTTTATCTCGTCCAGAATTATTTTATCTTGTCCAAATATTCTCCAATATTTTATTTTACAGTTCAGATTATTTCCTTTATGTTTCTATGATTGTATTACTTCTTTCAACATCGTGCAGTAACATTTCAATATCATGTGCAACATTATTTTCATGACTTTTTACTACTTTGTAAAATCCTTCACAATATGATGCTGAATATTACTTTTCTATTTTAGTGTCTATTATATAGTCTGTTACCAGTATTACTTCTTATACATTTCATATTTTACTCTTGTATTAAATATGTGTTGTTGTAATTTACTTTGACCTATTTTAGTTGATTCATGTATCCTCTTATTGCTAGTTTATTCTATTTTGCAACGGTGTCAGTATTATTCATTTTACACTTTAAAATTGTTATTCTATGTTTCATATGTTTATATTTTCATTCTCTTGTTTTTGTGTTTCTTTGTGTTTTTAATCTCTGGCACAATAATTTCTTTCGGGGTTAAAAACAGTTCTGTTCCATGTTATTGACTTTTGTGTAAAGTAGTTTGTTTTGCATGTATGATTAGTGCAATACAATAAAAGTAGGTTGTACACAGTCCCTGATAACTGTTTACACCGACGGACTGGTGGGTGATTCAGTCACGTGATCGGAGGATATGAGGCCTGTTGTTTTTCTAACAGTCTGAGAATCAGGTGCCAGCCATTAGACAGGAATGTCTCCGTCCTCATTTGTCCTCTTTAGCATCGCAAAGAGCCTCAGAGCTGCTCGGTGGCAGAGTGAGTGGTGTGTGTGTGGGGGGGTGTAAATGTATGCACCTGTCCAAAAGGCGCCATTGTCGCGGCATGCCCAAAAGTTCACACGTCGTTGGAGCGCTCGTTGACGCCGACGCCACGTAGACTGGAGGTCACGAGGGCAGAGCGGCAAGTAAAAACACTCAGAGACGCACGTGAAAGTAATCCGAGGTGTGGGCGCTGCTGCTTGAGGATGATGTTTGAGAGCTTAAAGAGGTACTGAACATTTGAACATGTTTTTAAAGTGACACATTCACGCTGGTGGAACATTTCTTTTTTTACAAAAATTGTTATTTCATGGTTGAAAATGGCTCAAAACACCATCTGCTGCTTTAGATCTTTCATGGTCAGTTCTGAAATAGAGTGGACCGTTTGGCACAGATCTACGTTATGTTAACGTCCTCTCATCAGACCAACTATCTGTCTATCGCTTTCACTTGTTCAGCAAATACTGTGTAGCTTTACAATCACAGCACAAGTCTGTTCTCTCCTTTACTGACTGATTCATCTTCAACATCTGTGAATCAGCTTCATGATATTCAACACAGTTTCACATCAATTTGTGAAATAGTCATAAAAGCAATTCATTGAAAAATACGAAAAACAACTTTATTTTTCAAGCAACTGTCTTTACAAACCGACACTAAACACACTCGACCCAAAGGCCGACAGCTATCCCAACATTACCATATAGTTCAAAAGTACAATCTTAATTTCGATAGTTTTAAACATTTTGCAGACGCTTGTCTCGTCTTCATGGTTCTACAGGGTTCTACGTGGTTCTACACTGAGTCAGTTCATAAAGCTGAAGGAGCAGCAGCTGAGTAACAAAGTCAAACATCGGGGGGGACTGTGTTGTAGAATACAGACTTAGAAAGTTCAGGCAAACAGTCTGAGCCACCCGCTACTGGAGCAGTGTTTTTATTGAGTTTAGATAAATCAATAATTACCTTAAAGTTTAAACATAAACTAAAGAGATGGCTTCAAGCTAACCAGACCTGTAATCACAGCAGTCATACCTGTGGCACTGCTGCATGCTCTCATTGCTTTTACACATCTGCCACTTTTGTAATGCGCACTTATGTATTTTATTGTATTGTGTTGCATTGCATGTTGTACTGTAGTGTTTGCTGTTGAATTGTACTGATAATATTACAATCACTAAATTGTCATAACCTGCAGAGACTACAGAATTACATGAGCTCTCTAACTCTGGCACATTTAAGTTGAGGTGGAAACTGAAAAGTTGATTAATGTGCACTGTCCCTGATCAATAAATGAATAAATAAACATCACCGTACAAAACAAAAGGTTTAGGATCAAAATCAATGTTGGGCTTAAAATAACTACGTAGTTAGATAATTCACATTAGTGGTGTGTGTGTGTGTGTGTGTGTTCTTATGATGTTGTGTGCTTCTGTAATTCTCACTCACATAAACAGAAAAATAATGAAACATCCACCTGACCTGACACACACACACACACACAGAGTGTAGGAGGCTGTAAACAGAAAACAGCTGATTACACACTGTGTGAATGTGTTCTCCCCGAGGAGACAATCTGTGTTACAACAGGGCTGAATGACCTCGTGACACTCGGAGGAGCAGAGGAGACATGAGACGTGTTGCTGCTCAGAGCAGATGTTCTCTGCTCTCCGGCCTCGGGGATGAAGCTGTTCAGACAGAAACAGAATGAAACCTTTCAGTCTGATCTCAGGGAGGTTTACCACGAAATACATACGGCAACAAGGTGGCAGTCAGGCAGATGTAATATAACATCCTGACCAATCCTCATTTCTCTCTTTTTAAGCATTTACATCAACTTTATATGACATAAACATTTTTAATAAAGAAGAGGTAACATATTTGTTGAGCTAGTTTTCATATCAGCCTGTAAAATAAAAGAGGTGAAACTGATCTGAGCAAAGACTTTTCATTTAATCAATGAACTGTTTGTGTGCAAAAAGCTTTAAACATGTTTGTTGGTTTGTTTTTAAAAGGCGTCCACTGTTACAGTGGCTTGTGAAATGTCTTTTTGTTTGTTAAACATGCACAAAGGAAAAATATTTCTCCATTTATGGTCATTCTCAAAGACTGGGTCTGACCTTCACAGGAGATTTTATTGATAAAAAATAAATGTCGTCTTATATCGAACATGTATATCTGCAGTACACCGTTGAGCCACACGAGGGAGTCTGAATGTTCTTATTGTTCTGATAACTTAAGGATTCTTATGATTGTAATATAAAAGACGAGCGTGCATTCTGATGTTTTACTGATGAGAGGAAAACAAGAAGAGCCTGTTAGCTCCACCTGCATCTATTGATAGAGTTTGTAACGTGTTTCTATTTTATTTTTAATAGATAAAGTTGAAAACCATAGTTTCTTAAAGGATTTGTTAAATTGATTTGACGTCGAGGTTTGAGAGTGTCTCTGAATGTGTTATTGATTATTGCTGGTTGTTGTTTGTTATCATACTAGAACATGTGTTGTGTAGTATGGCTATCGATGGTTGATGTTTGGTTGATTCTGTTTGTTGTTTTGTGATTATGAAATGATTGTATGTATGAAATGTATCCAGGGCACCGTGGACAATGAGACCGTGCTCTCAATGGATCTTCCCCGGCTTAAGTTAAAGTTTCCTGTTTTTTAAAAAGTAGATCCCCAGAAAATATATTTTGGGAAAAGCTACAGAAACCCAAATCTTGTGCAGAAAATGTCTTCGTCTCGTCGCACAGACAGTAAAGATTTCACTCAGTTCTATTTCAAATTGAAGCAACGTTTTGTTTTGACTCATTCAGCGGAAAAGATCTGCAGAAGAACGTTCTTCAGGGAATATGTGCTCGAAAAACAGCCACATTTCCTGAAGGACCACCTTCACATAAACAACAATCAGCACGGGATGAAGTGTCTGTTTAACTCAAATAAAACACTTTAAATGAACCCGTTCT